GTTTGGAGGAACTCAAGGTTGGATCAGATGCTTCTCGGATGCCATGTTCTCATACTTTCCATGGTGACTGCATCGAAAAGTGGTTGAAGCAAAGCCACTATTGCCCAATTTGCCGGTTGGAGATGCCGACAGAGTGAAGAGCTTTTCTTTTTGTGTTTTTCTTGCTTCTAGTCGCTTTATATATGAACCTCTTCTCATGTTGGATAACTTGTTAATTGCTTTTGAAGAGGTTTTCTTTTCATTAGGTTTACTTATTGTAGTTGTTCTGTTTCCTGCAGTAGTTCATGGTTTAATGAACTTAAGCTATTTGTACATGGTGGCCGAAATCTGCAATACATGGGAAGAAATATATATAATTTTTACTTTTTAGTCATTTTAATTGTTCTATTTAGTTTTGATCTGTTTGTAAACTTGTTTTACTTGTCTGATGCATTACTAAAACTCCGATGATTATTGTGGTCTGTTATTTTATATCAAATAAAATGGAAGATTGAATCTTATGAACAAGAAGAAGCACTGCAATAAACCTTTTTGATATAAATCAATCAGTAAGGTAACTCCAGGGGTGACAATGCTAGGAACACTTGTTCAAACTATTGTACTTGTTATCATAACCTGGAAAACTGACTGGGATGAACAGGTAATCTGGTTGGCAATGTTTAAACTTTTTGTTCTATGAAATGTCACTTAATATCTGCAGGAGATCTTAGCTGGTACCAGATTCCAGGGAAGAAAACAGCATCACAGATAATGGTGCCTGAGGAGCAAGCTTCTTTTCTTCCTATAGTTGGATTTAGATTGTTGTTGCTATCAGTTCTTGAAGCCAGAAACTAGTTCACTGCTGGGAATTTGATTAACTAATTTTTGGAATTCTTTGGTGTCAACTATGCATATACAAAAATGAAATAGCTGCAGTTTTTCGTGAGCATATTCACCTCTTTGCTCTTGATATGATTACTGCTTTATGTTTTCTGCAGTGTCCAAAGGGTAGATTGAAACTGCCAATCAGTTGTAAATGCCAAAAAGCTTTAGCAAGCATTCTGCAACCATATTTTAAATCAAAGGCTTCCCATAACTCAAGGGAGAGCTCCAAGCAGAAGAAAATTTTAGTTGACCATCAATGAGAAAGGTAATGAGTTATACTAAAGCAATGATCATTGTCTCCCAAGCAATTAAACAACATAACTGAGGACCCTTTTAAACAGAATAATCTCTATAATGAGAGCATCCAAAACTCCAAAAAAAACAAAAAGGAGAAAGGTTGCAGTTGCAAGTTTGGTATGGCTTGAAGTTGCTACACTTCTATTATTCTTCAAATTTAACTTTGATTACAATGACACATTTGAAACTGTGATGTATTAGAGTTAAAGCATGCATTGACTTTAATCTATTGACTTAATATGTATTTTGCTTTGTTGTACTGGTTATTAGGAGTAATATACCAGTGTTTATGATGCGTCTTTGTGCATGTTTTGGTTAATAACACTTGTCCTCTATGTTAACAGGTGTTAACCTTATGTTGCTTGTATAAATGCTTATGTTTATTGATGAAAAAAGATCATAGTACATATCAGTAAATTTTCTCTCTTTTCTCCTCTGTTTTTCTCTCCTTGGAGCAGTTCATATTACCCTACTGCTCTTATCACCTTTCTTCAGTTTCATGACATGATGGCCTTTGGTTGGAGAGATATGATTGGAAGTGAGTGATCTTCAAAACCAGTGAATTCTCTGCTAAGAACTGAACCTGGTCAACTTTAGTGATCTTCAAAACCATCTCCTTCTTTTTTCTTCACACAAAAAGAATTGCTTTTAAATATCAGGAGTTTACTTCACCTTTCACAACATTAAATTGATTATTTTC